ATGTAAAAATGCTTTAAATATAACAAATAAAATTATTATTAATTTAAATTTTTAATTAAAAATTATTAAAACACTTATGGCATTTATCAGATCATGTGTTATTAGGACATATTGTGAAACATTTATCTATTACATCAGATTCATCTCTCTATAATTTAAATAGAAATATTAATTAATAACTTACTTTATATAAATATATTAAATACTTAAATTAAAACAAAATATACCTCAAAATCAATACCATATGAATAATAAGAATGATTATTAAACATCATTTCTAATAATTCCAAATCAACATTATTTGGAATTGTTAAATAAAGATGATTTATTTCTCTAGATTGCCATTTAGTGCAGCCAATGAATTTCTTTTTTGATACTATCGAACCAACTACCTATATAAAAAAAATTATATTAATAAATAAAATAAATTACTATAAAATACATTTAATATACTTACTTGTGTAAGTTCACCTAATTTTGGTTCACCGTCACACTTTATTCCATTTTGATCAACATATCCGCATTTGTATTCATGCGCTTTATCAAACATACTAGTGTAAAATAAATTAAAGTAAATTAATAAAAAATCCGAAAGCCAAATACTATATATTACTTACCAAAGCGTTGCCTTTTCATAAAATTTTTCATTAGCATTGAACATATTTTTAAAAAGTGATGAAGTAAAATCTACAGATGTGTGACTTATGTTCAATTCTTTAGATGTAAATTCACATATTTTTATACTAAGGCATCGTCATTCTTCCTTAATTACTTTAAATCTGAAGAGAAAATCACAATTTCTTACTATACGAGTAGTACCATTACCTCCATAAGAATACTGGATATTAGTCATTGAAAAAGCTTTTTGTGCTTCATCTTCATCCCATCCCGATACATTATATACACTTGCAAAACTAGTTTCTGATATATTAGGATATTCTTGATATTCTATGTAATAGTGTACTTCAGATGCTATTAACTTTTGGCCAAATTTAGCGATTTGAATAGGCCACTAATAATAATTAATTTAAGAAAAATAATTTTATTAGTTGTCGTTACAATTTAAAATTAATTTTTTTGGCAATAATCCATGTATATATTAAAAGAATTAGTTGACCATTCTCGTGGTATTTTAAACCTTATTTTTAAACTTATGCTGACCATATTATACGGGTCAAATACATATATATCTAATATCGATAAATAACTGATAATCTAAACAAGCTATTTCAAACTTTAACATACTTCTTCAACAAGTTTTTCGTTGATTTCTACAGGATTTTCTACCATTTTATCAGAGATTTATGAGAGATTTATACTTTTTAAAAGTTTTATTAACTTTTATTAATGCGTTCTTTAAAAAAAATAATAAAAAAAAAAATAAAAATTTTTTTATCAGTTTTAGTGTTCTTTTTAATTAGTGATACAATAGATCATTTAGTGTACTGTAGTACCATATAAAATTTCGTGTAATGTACTATTGTACGAATTTCTGAAATGTCATTCGTACAGTATAGGTTAACTGATCGTACAGTACAGTTTATATGTATACTCCATGTTTTAGTAATACGGTCATTACCAAGTTACATGTATCATAAAATAACATATCGCAGGTATAAAAAATCGTATCTAAAAATTCTCATAAGGTTGTTTTATCTTTTTCAGAAAGTTTTTTTACACTGAATAGAAAACGCAGCTTTTCACATTCAGTGTAATTTACAGTAATACCAATAATTTTTGCACGTATAGCAGAAGGATAAAAAGGCATAGTGTGTTTTGTCTTTGTAGTTTTTATTTCACTTTTTTCATTTTCACTTTAGAATTTACAAAAAAAGGCCTATAGTTTTCTATTGTTTGTGTATCATATAACTCTTTAAATGACTTGTAATGCAAGTCATTTCCAGGTACTAGATCTGGAAGACGATGTAATAGTTCAAAATCTTCTTGTAAATAATGGGGAGAATGACAAATGCTATACTTACCCTTTATTTTATTTGTTCTGCAGTGTGGTCTTCACAAGTAACACTATCATTCACAATCTGAATTATTTTTCAGAATCTCTCTATTTCTGTTTCTGATGCCATAGCAAATATTTTAAATGGTTCATCTTTAAGAGATTAGCGGTTAAACACATCATTAATTAAATGAATTAAAGCTTAAAGGCTTACAATAAGATCTTTCTTCAAGTTAGAATATTCCTCGGTAATTTTGCAGATTTTGTTTATTATACTAACTTTACCTATTAATTTTTCTGATTCATCGTTTACCTTAGCCCACATTAAACCTATACTTTATAATCCTAGATTTAAGATGAATATGATACGTTCAATGGGATTTTTCTATAAATGCTGTGGTAGAGTTCAGATAGCAATAAAATAATCGAGATCTAAAGTAATAAAAAGGCAAATGTAGGAGAACTAAACACAGGTATATGTGTAATGATAGTCTATTCTACTATCTATATAGAGATATAATATAGATTTGTCTGCAAGCTCTTCTTTAAGAAGTATATGATATAGTTTTATTGCATGGTGAAGTGGTAAAGAAGGTTGAAAGATTGGATCCTTTAACCTGATACGTATTTTTCCTGCATAAAAATCACCATTTATCAATTCAGATATATTGCATATCATTGCTACACTCAGTATGATTCCTGTTTTAGTATAATTGTGATCAGCAACTGCGAATGTAGTGTTTCTACTGACCATAACTTTCTTTTCTCTCTCTACAGTAGCAACAGGGAATCCAAGTTCTCCAACCTTACAATAATGCTTATTATCCAAAAAAATAAAATTTGTAATTTTACGAAACTGAACAGCAAATTCTTTTTCATAGCGAAATAATGCTAATGCATAATGAGCATCTGGATGATAAGCTCGTAGTTGACATGTTTGAATCATAAATTTCAAAGGTAAACGACCAGTGAATTGCAAACTACTAATTCTTGTCAGATTCTTAGGTCAGAACTGTAATCTTAACCATTGTGTACTGGAAATTAGTATTTCAGATAAACATTCACGTTTAATTTTATACAAAAGATCATTCATTGAAATTGTAGTTGCAAGATGAATGATTAAATTGTGTCTACGTTCATCTATAGTGATCATAGTATCCACAGCCTTTCCTTCAAGATACTGAGCTGCAATTTTCTAAAAAATATCATATTTGCTAGGTCTTCTGTTGTTGTGTTTACGTAAATCAATTGTGATTTCTAAATCATTGAGATTCAAAGTATTTCTAACACATTTATCAATTTTTGCTTCATTCGTAGTTTCAGCTGCAGAGGTGTCACCCATTAACATCTAATAGATTGCTTGAAGTGATGATAGCTTAGCTTTTAGAAGAAGTAGATCACAGGTACGTAGATAATTTATTTGCATTATTCATGTATGGTAATGAGATGCATCAGCCTATAGTTCATTTACAATCCATTTATTCTCTTATAAAATTATCATCTTATTAGCTTGTTCGTCAATTTTCCATATCAAAATCGCATTAAAAGCATTATTTCTAAAATTGAACTGATACTCTCCAATTGTAAAGAAAAATATGTGAGATAAGCTTTGAATATAACGTATCCCTGCTTTATATACGAATTATTTCATTAGCTTATATCGATATATTAATAATAATTTGATTTTACTTACATAGGATCAATTGACAAGTACTCTTCAATATCGATCGCTTTTCACATTAGTAAATTGATGAGTAATTGTTCAAGATTATGATATTTGGTCTTGTCAACAATTGTAACCCAAATATTTTGCTTATAAACTTTGATTGTTGTGGCCTAATTAATAGAATGTATAGGAGTTTCTGATGCATGATTTACAGTAGTAATATCACGTTAACGTCATAGAAATCTAACATAATTTGAAACAGTAATAATAAAATTGTCAAATGGATCACAGAGCCAATTAAAATTTACCATTAACATCTATAACAATGTAGCATATGGAGCAAGAACTTGACAATGTAAATTTAATTCATTAGCATTAAAGGGTTTTTGTGCTTCCTTATACGATTCTGGATCTGCACGACTAAAAAATTCAAGAAAGAGCTCAGGTATATGGTAATTACGCTTTTCAAATTTCTGGTGATCACGTATATCAATATACCAGATCATTTCAGTCAAATTATTAACAAATTGCTTCCCTTACGTATTAGCATACGATTGAGTAGACCATTCTCTATCATGATGGTAAATCCAATCAACAAGATCGCTGCATAATTTTTGTTTACGATTTGATCTACTTGATTGTGAAAAAATTGGTAGATGTCGCTTATTTTGATGTGCATTTTGCATCAGAACTATAAGACCATTTTCTGTATTACCTAATTAAGAATTATATTGTTATCAGTTTTGAGCTGATATTGTATACATATTCCTATACTTGTTGTAAGTTCCATAATATTACAGATAGGGCTGACTTGGATTGTAACTGCAGTTGGTGTTTCGCTTATCTCAATATGTTCTATTACTTCAGAACTTGAAATAATAATATTATATTTAAAAGATAGTTCTTTAGTTATAAGTTTTATAAAAAATCTTCTATCATCATTTCATAAAGAATAGAATAAATATACCATTCATGAAGAACTTTTGATCCTTTAAAGATATGTATATTTACAAATGGCATCTTTTGAAGAGGTTTGTTAAAAAGTTCAAAGGAAGGGTTATTCTGACATATTGTTTTTCTTTCTCTTTATTAGTTTATATTTGTGAATTATGTGATCAAAGTTTACTACGCATTTTAATTTTATTTGGAATGCAGTCATAAAAGGAAGTCATTCAGAACGTAGTTGCCTTTGCTTAGCTAATCAATATTACTTTATAGGCTCTTTATAGGTAAGTTGCTTTAGAGATACAGTCATAAAAGGAAGTCATTCAGGGGCGTAGTTAGAAAAGGAAAGACGCTTAGGAATGTGATTAAGAAAGATATTTATATATAAATAAGAAGCACAATTTTTCAGTTCTGATTGAATTGCAGGTAAATAAAATAGTTACATGATCCTTAGTTTGCTTGATTCTGATCACAGAACCATTAGATATTGTATGACTCAGTTTCATTTTTCAAAAGAGATCCATCTCATCACAATTAAAAATATCTTTTAAATCATAATCCCTTAACGTTTGACAAAATTTTTCTTTTATTGAATCAAGATCTTAAATTGATGTGCTACCCACTTTCCTATGAATGTTATACTGCTTAAGATTGTGCTTCTTTTTAAAATTATCAAGCTATCCATTTGATACTTTAAATTTTTCTTCATTATACAATAAGGTAAAATCTAATGCCTTTATTGCTAGAATACTTTTTAGTGATAACAAGTTTAGCTTGAAGTACTTTATCTATTCAGATAGTAAGTACTTCTTCAATAATAGGAAACTGAATTTTTTTTTCACATTTTAAATTGGCTTAATATGAATCATTATCTATTATAACCATCAGTCTTTTTTTTTTAGAATATCACTCATCATCCCTTTACTGATATCATATTCTTTTACTAAAACTTTTTATTTTAAAAAAGGAATGAATATTTTCTTTAAGTAAATCTCCTTTTTTTGGCTACTGTAAGTGATTTATGCTTTCTAGAAGTTTCTTTTGGTATATTATTAATATTAAAAGTGAGGGATTAATGAAAGTAACAATAAACATAATATAAAAATTCATTTTTATATAAATAATTACTATATTTAACAAAATAGTAAAAGTTAATTTATCTTATATGGGAAGAATTTGATAGAAAAATTATAAAAAAAATTCATTATAAAAAATCTGTTATACTGAGTAGCATTTTTATATGTATAATTTACACACTTTACTTCATACTACGTTATACTATAAATAAATTATAAACTTCATTATATCAAAGTTTTTTTTATATTTAAAATTAATACCACACTAGATGATTTGTTATATTGTGTTATTTGTTATATCAAGGTTCATTATAGAGAAAAAATACTGTAATTATTTATATATAGATTATTATATTATCACAAAGTTTAAAGTTTATTATTATTTGTGATTATAAAGTCTAATTTAGAAATTCTTTAGAAATAATAGCTTTGTATTTATATATAAAATAGAAAGGTTTATTTCTTGTAATCTCATATTTTTTAGTTCTATATGCAAAAAGAATTAAAAAAAATATATAAGTTATAATCATTTTTATTATTATTCGTAAATTTGACTAAGATTTCATATAATATTCAATTAAATTATTCAACTAATCTATTGGTATAAGAGTAATATGCTAAGAATAGTTTATATTTTATTCACAGTTTT